GACCCTGACCACTCTGATCCCGCTAGTTGCTTCATGGGTAGCTGAAGACCAGTTCTAACCTGGATCTTCACTTGCAAAGATTACTTATATAATTGAAAAATCATACATGGACCGTAAATATTTGGGGCACATTTGAGTGTACTGAAGACTGTGCACAACATTTCATAATCATATCTCCCCAATTCTTCACAATCTAGAACTTTTTGTTCAGTATGGACTGGTCTAGAAGTTGGTGTGGGATTGTTTATTGGAACAGGGCACTGCAAACAGAGATTACACTATAGTAGTGTTGGGAATTGGTTTAAATCTCATAATTGATGATTTGTTCATTACAACCGATCAATCATCGAAAATAATTGGTTAGCGTCATTTATTAAATTTTCCTGGTTATGTTTGTTAATGCACAAAAAATAAAGAAAAACATGTAGTTCTTTCATTTTTTTGCAAATTGCACAAAATGCATTTGCAAATTTCACATCTTTAAAGGATGACTAGTGTGTTAGGAACATGAATTTCATGGAGTCTTTAAAATAAATTCAATCATGAATTGGAAGAGCTTGTAGTGCTAATGAAATGTAACAGACAAAACCAACCAACCAAAAATATTGTTATTGCAAACAAGTGTTCCAAAATTGTTTGTGTTCGATTATGAGAAAACATGATCGATTGCTTGGTTGTTTGCGACCAATCTTCGATTATTTCAATTAATCGGACCACCACTACACTATAGTAGTGTAGAATGACAATTCAAACTTCAGCGAAGTAACAGACTTCCTTACAGCGCTATAACTGTGATACCGCTTGATGATGATATACGAGCGAATGTGAGTGTGTGCATGCATTTGTATCAGTCAGTACCAATGCTGGTTACTATCATGCTGAATGACTGAGATATCACGTATAGCCGATGTCAGACACAGCATACAGCCTCCGAGCAGTTACTTAGAACAGCTAACGATACAATATAAAACGTTTTTTTATTAAAGAAAATTAAAATACATTTTTCATTGTTAATGACAGTAATTGAGATTTTATTTTAAATATTTCTGGTAGGCAGAAAATTAAACTCATAGCTATTAATTTTAGTGTCATTCCGAGTTTAATGTTTTGGAGTCGGCAGTTTTCAAAAAACCATGTTGATAAAAACATCTGTACTAAACATAGAGATCTAAAGCCTTGTAGTTGATAAGCTAGCAGTACTAATGGCTTCCTACATACAACCTGTTGCTCTGCTGTCTGAAAAATGCCACAAGCTTCAGACCAACGGAAATAATGTCAATTTTTCACGGCGAGTAAACAAGATCCGGTTTGTCTATGGCGGCGAAAACATGTGTTACACAAGCGGAACCAATGAAAGCCTGAAATCCTAATTGTCCTTATAATGAACATATCATTGGTGAAGACATACTGGAATATTGCTGCATGCTGCATTAAACAAACCAACCAACCAACATTATGGTCACGTTCTACAGTTCTCTTCTGACAAAGGATTAATTGTATTGAAGATTACCCCCTCGACAGTATTTAAAGTACTATATATATATAAAACTTTTGAAAATGTATCTCAATATCTTCTAAACAACAAATTATGATGGATCATGACAGATCTATCTGACTCATCAGCTCTACTGTGTCCAACTTGGGTCAGTGTTCACAAAAAACTGTGTGTTTCACGCAAATAAATCTACATTTCACGCACGATTTTTTCTACCTGCCTGTTCTGCAAGCAAAGCACTTTGTGTTGTGGGAACAAGTAACAAATAAACGTATTTTCCCCAAGGAAACAACAAAATAAAACAAAGTTTCTCTCAGCTAATTTGACATGCGAATGATGACAACATGCTCTGAAGTACAAGGAAATGACATCTAAATTTCAAAATTTTACGGGGTTAAGTTTCCAGGGGCTATGTGTTTTTGGAATGCAAAGCTTTTTTTCCTATCGCGAACACTGTTGGGTATGCATGATATTTCAGTGGGTCAGCACTAAAAAGAGCCAGCATTGGTACAGACCAGTATACCTGCATGTACACACACACACACACACACACACACACACATGATGACGTACCTCATAGCATTGTAATGATTTCTGTTGTTTCTTTGAAGTCTGAATTCTCATTTTGCTCTACCATGCTGTATTCACTGCATGAACAGCCCTGTTCCAGGTCATGTATCTTCATGAGGATCATTAAACCTCATCACACCAAACCTTCCTTTAAGAAGTCACATCACCTGCTGTTTCTTCCTTAACTCAGCACAGGATTTCTTGAAAAGCCATCCAAGCAAAATAACTCTTTAGAGCACAGATCTACACCAAATATACCTGCTTCATCAAAGTGAATTCTGATTGTATTTAAACGAATTATATTCCACTATAAATGTTCTTTTAGTTCAAAACTATGATTTTACTGACCACTGATGTCTTGGGGAGGCAAGTGGTACAAGCCACTGTAGCTGTATTTCAGTACCAAGGTATTCTACTGGTGTCAAGCTGGAGTGAAGATGAAAACTATATCCGGGGTATATCAGTGTATGGAATAAGCCAAAAACCCAGCCAGACATCATGGCTGGTAACTTCAAAATGTTATCAGCCCAAAATGGATTCAACCAGACCAGACATCAAGATATGGTGAATTTACTCAGATGTATGGAATATCTACAATATTTACCAGAACATCGGGCTGGCTAGCTGTATATCAGAAATCTAGCCCATCACAGGGGCTTTATTTCATACATTGGGTATATATCATAAATACTATGGGGATATGATAAATTGCATGATTGTGGATTTTCAGACCATGTGACTTGCCCCATCTATCCATTTTCAATCTTTGACATATGAATTACATGGGCCCATGGGCTCTTAGTCTTAAAGAAGTAACCACGGTACATTATTTCATGTTTATATACATGATATAGTTTGTCATGGGTTTTTTTCAAATCATTTTCAGCATATTTGGAACAAAATGACATGTTAACTATAAATCAATGAAATTTCATCTAAAATATTTAGTACAATAAATGAAACAACAGTTCATTAAGGGATTCAGTCAAGTGAATGAATGCTGTAATTATAAATAAACAGTAGTTGAAACAGCTGCATTAGGAACAGGAAGACCATCACCACGACTGATCAGATACTACACTTGTGGCCCTGATGAGGCTCTGTACCATTGACGCAGAACATAAACACCTTCCAAATGGGTTGAAGCAAAATTTGTGCATGGGTTTTGAAAACTCAAATTTCAAATTTACGATCAGGTATTCAAAGCAAAATATTTTGTTACACATACAGTATGCATACAAACAAAGACTAGTTGCAAATAGTTTATATTGTGAAACCTACGGAATGGGAAACGCATTGACTTTACAACCCATAATATTTCTGAAAACTGCACATTGCATCACTGACACACCTGTGGAATCAAACCCCAGTCTTCAGCATGAGGAGCAAATGCTTTAACCACTAGGCTACTGGCGAACTAAGTTCATGGTATCAACTGTCAGGTTCCTTGAGTCCACCAATCTATATTAGGCTGAAGGCTTCAATGCTGGCAATGCTGGTGTCATGATTAGACTAATGCTTAGTGACTAGTAATAGTCTCTGAATATATAAATATAATTTTGATTGTAACAAATACCCCCATTTAAACTGAAAAGGAGCCCAAGGGAAACCAGAGATTAGACTTACTTCATTTAGGGCTTTAGCATTGCAGAAAGGGCTGGGTAGTAGGGAAAATAATGTGGTTCAGGGACTGTGAGACAGAGTTATGTCATGATGTCTTTAAATGATGAATATAAATTTGTTCAAAATCATGTGGAAAATGGCACTTGTTGCCTGCCTGTGACTCCATGCTCATGTCAAGGAAATCTAAATATATCACTGATAGGAGATGGAATTAGATCCACCAAGTGTTATGTAACTTGTTTGAGTGGCATTTTAGAAGTTGAGACGTACAATATAGAACAAGTCTTGCTTGACAACGGTACAAGAATCTGTATCGAAACGTCGCACTCACGAAATAAGTTATTGACTGTAGAGCAGTGTTAGCCTGGAGTCAACAATAATATGGAACTTTCAAGACCAGCTGAAATAATCTAAGTCCAAAAGTCTTTGAAGATCCATATTTTACTTTGGCTACTGGAATTTCCTGTATTTAGGATTAAAATTATTATATTCCCTTTTCGATATGTGCAATTCCCAAATATAAGTCCTGCACTTATTGATTATTTTGCATGAAAGATTTCGAGTAACTTAATAGTCAAACCTGTACAAGTCAAATCCTAATGATACAATGAGTAAATCTAGGGAGCCAATACTACAGGTCAATGATACACCCACATGTGACAGATGGCAGAGCACACAGAGGAGAGTGAGAAGGACACGCACTCAGCAATATCCCAGCTACAGGTCACCAGATGACAACCTCACTAACACAGATGGCTTACTGATGCAAACCGATAGCTCTCTACTTGAGTGAGTGAGTGAGAGAGGTTTAATGCTGCTTTATAGCAATATCACAGCAGGGACACCAGAAATGGGCTTCCCACTACCCAAGAGCAATCGAATCCTAGTCTTCCTCGTCATTAGTGGATGCTTTAACCACCAAGCTACCCCCAGCCCTCTATACTTTAAAATAGGGTGAACTTATGTCAGTCAGTGCTGAAGCTTCAAGTTCAACCCTCTTTGTATGATGAAGTGCAGCTGAGTGAGCATCTGATTTAAGTATCCTGAAAGTGATTACAACTAGGGAGTTACAAATCCAAATTTCTTCAGCAGGGTTGAGATTTATTAATTGAGGTGGTAAAGAAATGATGCTGACACACTTTGGAAAGCTGACATCTGATTGGCTAAAGATTCAATGCATCCTCCTTTTTGATTGGGCACTGAGGGTTTGCTCTGGATTCACTATTACAGGTGTTGTCCATCTTCATGCCCAGATGTGTTACAGGGCAAAGTTTAAGAGGGCTGCTAATATGACATAAAAAAACTCACTTACCTGTGGCACTGGGGGGTCTTTAACTCGAATGACAAGAGCCCCTTCTCCTTTAAGGAGGTCTGTAATTTCTTCCTTGGACCTTGTGAGGCCATCTTCATCAACACTGCCATTGCCATACCCTTTCTTTGATTTGCGTCTTTCCAGGATTTGGTACTTGCAGTCGATGATCAACAACATGGCCTTGACACTGAAAACAATATAGACATGAACATGAAGAATATGAGATTGATTAAGTCGGGTTTTACAGCGCTCCGCAAAATATTTCAGATCAACACAGATGAAGCTGACAGAAACTGACTCCCCATAGTCAGCAGATGACAATGTTGACATAACTGTGTGTTTAGTTTTGCGCCACTTTTAGCAATATTCCAGCAACATCACGGCGAGGGACACCAGAAATGGGCTTCACACATTGTACACATATGAGGAATCAAACCCGGGTCTTCAGCGTGACGAGCAAACACTTTAAACACAAGGCTACCCCTAAGTTATCAAAGTTTGATTGAACATTGCTTTCACACAAACTATCTGTGGCAGAAAAGATGAATCAATACATTTACACACCATCTGGATTAGTAAAATCTTTGCTCTGTGTTTAATACAATAAGCTTCATAACATAAAACACAAACATGAAATCTTTTTGCATCGTTACTGATCCAGTTATCACAGTCTCCTTGAGAGACATATACTTAACTTTAAGCATAAATAACATCTGTGTTTGTTACATGCATCATCAGTCATAACTAGTCTGTGGGAAAACATGATATGAGTCCACTAGAACAAACTCATAGCATCATTTTCAGTAGAGTTTTTCATTATTGTATGTAGCTGCTGATATTAGTATTAATACTACACTAAACCAACATTCACTTCAGGCTTCAGACTAATGATGCAGGATAAAACCATTGAATTAACCTTTATCATGTTCATGATTATCTACTGGGTCTGTCATGAAATATATTACCATTGACAGATTCAATTAGTGCCTATAATGCAAGGTTTATAGTATGTATATATATGTATTATGATCTGGGAGTAATATATATAGCATGTAACACTATAACTATAATGCATATGTGAAATGTATCATGATGTATAGCGTATCTGTATTGCAGGGGTGGAAATAACTTTAAAATTGCTTGTGTACTCCGGTACAGTGGCACAAGTAAAATCACTTGCCCTGATAATTTTTCCACTATACTGGCCGATTTTCTTGTTGATTTTTTAAAAAAACAACATAATTAACATTGGAAAGTCAACTGGACACCGGTACAGTGTGATATACAAATTTGCTTGCCCGACAGAAAAAACACTGGACTCGGGCAATGGGTTATTTCCACCCCTGGTATTGCACATTGGGATGGGTTGGGAGTAGGTAGTCTTGTGCTTAAAACATTCTTTTGTCATGAAGACCCAAGTTCGATACTACGCATGGGCACAATACTATACTATATATACATTAAGTATAACTAAGATGACAAGTTACCTGACAATGCCGACAAAGGTCATGATCAAGCCTCCTTCTATGATTCCTGCCTGTAAACAAACAACATCAGTTATTGGTAAATTACAAAAAGGATAGATAACTGGACATCCTGAATAATGTCTCCCCAATGTTTATGGTTCCACTAGTATATACTCAGACAAAAGGACATTCGAAACAGAGCGTGTTTATTGTTTCCCTAAAATATGTAATTATTCAGGCTAGTAGTAGTACAAACTCTGGGCAATTTCCATCCCTTATAACATGACCAAAACATTTGCTACACACATTTGCTTTGAAAAGGAATCATTTGTTCCAGCACACTGGGATTTTTTGCTTCCATATTCACAAATAGAAGCATAAATGACAGTTGGACACATATTTGATGTTCTGAAAAAAACTGCATTGTGAACAAAATATATCAGACAAGCTCCCTGTTTTGCACAAACAAATTGTATTATGATGAAGTGGGGTCTGAAAACATACTAATTTATCATGCATGTGTAGTTTTTTATCATCACTATTAAATGAAATCACTTGTGGATCAATGACAAACAGATTTGCAGAGTCTTATGTAGTACTTAAATCTATGTTTGCCATAAACATGTATATCACTACTGACATTCTACTTCACTGGAAAACTCCCATGCAAGGCCTCAACAGCAAGTCTACGAGGCAGCCAAGCCAGTCTTTGTTCATCAAACTAAATGACAATTGACTAATTTTCACATGAATAATCAACCTACCCGTGTATGTATATTTAACTGACAACTGTCAAGACTTCTGTATTAATTTGTGCTATGGACTTCCCAGTCATTTTTGCAAGAATCAGGGGTGGAAATAACCCATTGCCCGACGCCCCAGTCCAGTGTTTTTTTCTGTCGGGCAAGCAAATTAGCATATCACACTGTACCGGTGTCCAGTTGACTTTCCAATGTTAATTATGTTGTATATTTAAAAATCAACAATAAAATCGGCCAGTATAGTGGAAAAATTATCAGGGCAAGTGATTTTACATGTGCCACTGTACCGGAGTACACTAGCAATTTTAAAGTTATTTCCACCCCTGAAGAATGTGTTGGAATTCCATCACTATCTATGTCATTTCATGAATAAAGTTGAACATCAAACATGCTCATACATTTTCAGTTACACATTCATAATGTCTCTACCATCCAACAGAATGTAAACTTCACCATGTTCACTATTTCCTAGCAATTAGAACAATGTTGATTTCAATCCATTCCCTGTATTAAAACATTATACACCATATGTGTGACTACTCTGTAATTACTTCTCTTAGTAACATACTTATAGAATTTGATCAACAGACTAGGGAACATAGCATCCTATCAGTGTGGTCTGCATCCCTCTTTGATGACATGAAGCCATAACATCTTCCATTACTGTGGTAAAGTATCAAATTAAACAAATGACATGAGCTTCTGGTTTTAGATTTTTAAAACCCTGAATAACATATCAGAACATGTAAACTAATCATGCTAATTATGACATGTTGCTAAAAAATAGCATTCCATGCATTTTAAGGTAACATTATTTAAAAAGGTTGTTATCATAGTATTGAGGATATGAATGTTTTACTTCCAACCAAGGCTATATCCCTTGAATAATATTTTCTAGGAATATTCACCGACATGACTTAGCTAACCAAATACATTCAATACGGAAGCAAGTAGATTGTGTCAGCTTTTGTCCTTGTTAGCAATGGCAACCTGGTAATACTGCCATTATTAACAGCTACAAATTAGGGTATCATGAGTACAATTACTGCTACTTAACATCAAAGATATGGTCTCTGTTAACATCTAACCATTCTAAGTGTTAATTATTCCAGGTTCATGACTGACAAATTGTTACTGAATATAGTTCAGTCGAATCAATTAGAATGTCAAAATCATGGTTATATAACAAATGATGGCCATCAGTTCAAATTGATATACGTCACAGCCAATAATTCCAAATGAAAAACGACATATATTTCGCACATCACATAGAGATATGGACCAGTAATGCATATTCAATCTATATAAAAAAAATAAAACTGATGTTTACCATGAATATGAATATTGTTTTGTTTTTTCCTTTTACATCGAGATTACTTAACAGCTGCTAACGTACACTCTCAAAGAGAGTTGAACACCGACTTCGTATCTAAATTATAAACACGGCAAAAATACGATAAATCTTACAACAAACTAACTTTATACTGACACTTTCAATTATGTGTCTGATAAATAAATAAGCTAGTCGGCGATCAAATGTTTACCTCCTTGAAAGCAAATGGGAGCCCCAGAACTCCTGCTCCGATGAAGGATATGAATATGCTGGCGAAGATCTTGAGAGGATGGGTTGAACCCCCTTGTAGATTGCCTCCTCCTACAGACATTTTGTTGTCTTCAGTTGTTTTAACAGAAGTTTGCGTTATCAACTTGTCATAGGTTTCATGCCTGTCAATAGGAAACGTGGAAGGGTTACGCCATCTGGTGACGACTCACAGGGGCGGATAACTCTAAATGCACCTGTCAACACATGGATGGACTGTGAATGAGCCGTAAAATAAACGCGCAACATGCGGTGATGTGGATGGGGAATAGAATGACACAATTATTCTTTCAGATCTGCTTAATAATGTGTTCTGTAAGTTCTTGCTCCAGAAGAAACGTTTCTGACAATTTCAGGTCGAATATAGAGTTTTGGAAAAGACAATTTCCGATTGGTTCGGTGTTGGGGAGAGGGGTGAACATGAAATATTATAAGAAACGAAATACATGTGCGTACGTGGGAATGCCCCATCTAGTAGTCAAAAGGAAGAGGTAAATCCAATGGACCAACCATTGTGTACGAAACCCAGTTTGACAAGGTAATATGTTTCAGTCTGCCATGCTCGTGCAGGGCGACGGCGTAGCCCATTGGTTAAAGCGTTCCCTCGCCACGCCTAACATCTATGTTCGATTCCCCACACGGGTACAATGTGTGAAGCCCATTTCTGGTGATATTGCTGGCATATTGCTAAAAGCTGCGTAAAACTATATTCACTCACTCACCTTACTTGTGCGTTTTCAAGCGCAGGGGCGGATACAGTTTTTGGAGAAAGTCGGGGTGCACGCTCTTGAGAAAGGGGCGTGCACACTTCACTTTCACGAGAGTTTCAATGGTCATTTAATAAAATTTCAGGACAAACCGTCTTTCACACAAATATATTAATTGGTCTTTCACCTCACTGTTCAAAGCGGCGTCTGTAGTCCCAACTCACTTTACTAATAGATTGCTAAGCCAATGTAACCTCCAGGGTATACGTTCCGTGGATGATATAACCCGAGTTCAGTTACATCTGAACTAGTTCTGAGCCTTGACGCTTCGACTCAGCTTCGTGTAGCATGAGTGACGGACACAGGGAACCTGTCAAAATGGGCGGAATGAGTGAGTGAGTGTGAGTGAGTTTATTTTTACGCTCAGCAATATTCCAGCTATATGGCCGCGGTCTGTAAATAATCGAGTCTGGATCAGACAATCCAGTGACCAACAGCATGAGCATCGATCTACGCAATTGGGATACGATTACATGTGTCAACTAAGTCAGCAAGCCTGCGAATACGTTGGTCGCCTCTTTGGACAAGTATGGGTTACTGAAGACCACCCTTCACGCGATTACGTTGGTCGCCTCTTAGGACAAGTATGGGTTACTGAAGACCAATTCTAACCCGGATCTTCACGGGTCACGGAGATGATGGGATGGGTCATGGCAGAGACCATTATAGGGTCTTCACAATTAGGTTGACTCCATTATAGTCAAACACATCCGAAGCCGTTTTGGTCCAAGGTGGTTTCGTTTCCTGCACCCGTAAGGAGTGATGCGATTGTCGAACGTACGTATAGAACAAAGATTGCCTACAGGAATTACTAAGCACCCATTTGACAAATGCCAAATGCCCGTCTACTTACTCCTACCTTTGCTAAGGCCGGTATACTTGGTATAACACGAGAGGTGCTGCGTTAGAAAACGTTATTATTTCATGCAATCCAATTTGTATCACACTATTGAAAACAAGTAAGTAATTGTTTGTTGTGGGCAACATATATTTACGATTCATGAAGTATGTTTCGAACGAATAGATCATTAAGATGGCTGTTGTTTTAGCATTTCCATTTATATATATTTATACACAGTAGAGATTTTCTGACTCATCTAGCCATATCGATATTTTCCGTTTGATATGTAGTTCTTGTTCATCGGACATAACAGAAATTCCGATTATATTTCTGAATAAATCGCAAAACGTTCCCTGGATGGTGAGTCCCAAACTCACGCACTCACTCACTCACCCACAAACCCATTCACTCACTCACTCACTCAGAGTAAAGATCTATTCGTTACCACTCGCTCCCTTTCCGTAACCTGCAAGTCACCATTTGGTTTTTCCCGGAATAGCCACGAACGGCCAAGATGCGATGATCGTGGGATTAAATTCCAGAGGAGCTCAGATCGAGACATTTGGCCGGTGTTAAACATGTACGACCAGGGACGATTTATGCTGCTCCCATCCACAGCTTGTTTAGTCTCTTTCATTCTGTTTATGATGTATTATCTATATTGTGTTGTGATATACATGTCAGTAAAATACAGATGCTCGTTAATCAAAGGTGAGCTTCGTGATGCTTCTGTTTATTGTGTTAAAGTGTCAGCTTTTGCCATTGTTAGTTACGGCAACGTTCTGGTAATACCGCTATTATCTGGTACAAAGAGACACCACACACACACACACACACACACACACAGAGAGAGAGAGAGAGAGAGAGAGAGAGAGCTAACATTCACAAACACACACACACACACACACAGATTTAGTGACCGCTACATCCAGTACTACCCCATGATTCCCAAACCATCTCCCACGTGTGACTGCGTTAAAACAAACACACGACTGTGTGTCCCCGATATTATATCTGATTTTCACTTTGGTTCACATTCACACAAAACCATTGGCACAATCTCAGGTTGTCTAGCACATGTTGATTTATTGAATAGTGCGGCAGCTTTATGCTGAAAACGTGTCGGAATGTTTGTAAAGCGACAGCTGGCGAATTTAACATTTTACGTGTGTCTCATATAAATAATCGCGTATGCAACGATACCCCAGATACAATCCACAACACGACATTTACATTACACTTCACATTACACATTATCGCTTCTTAACTGTATGAAGGCTTAATTAAGCAAACTCTTGGCTGAAAATCTAGGCTGAGGGAGGCATTTATATATATTATGAATTATCAAATAGCAATGGTATGAGCTAGCTGGGGTAGGAATCAATGAAAAGGAATTGCGATCATCATTCGAGTGTGTTTTCCTGTCGTAAATATCATGAATACAAATACTGTGATATGCGAGCCTTTTATTTATCGGATCACGATATCAAGCTACTTGGACTGGTCTGACATATCTTCTTCTTCTTCAGTTATATGCTTTGGAGGTCGCCTTCGCCTGCTGGCATTTCGGCAGACCTATCCCGCCTTGGGATGCGTGGGCTGACATATCTGTAACACTATCAGTTTTTATAATAGTTCTGACACACGTGATATGGACAAATTGCCCAAAGACATGTGGTGGTGTCTGGTCCTGTCCATATAACTCGGGTCGCTATCAGATGAAGTTACGTAACGCTGAGCGCGGAGGGTCTTTACCCCACGACGAAGCACATGAGATACATATGGTCTCACCTTAGGCTAGTGAGTGTGTTCAAAGTTTACGTCTGTTCACCCAGCATAAAATGGGTACCCGGTGGGATAGGTCATGTGACTATTAACCTGCTTGCGCCTCTTAGGCAGCTTGGGTTATCCGGGGTAATAAAAATAGCACTTTGAGCAAGATATTCATCCTGGAATGGCGCTATAAAAAGTGGACTATTATTATGAACTGAACAGTTTTCGATGTTGTCATGACGCATTTTGAGCTTTGTGTATGTGTTTATTACAGCTTCACATTACTACACTGTTCCCTGACATCATAAAACAACTCAATATACCTGTCAGATTAAAGTAAAGTCGTAGATACTTTGCAGCTCTTTTTCCTTTTCATAAATAGGTTTTATTATCTATCTTTACTTGCGTATCTCTTACCTAGTTTTATGACACTGTTTGAGTTTTATGTTAAAGACTTCTAAGAGAAATCACAACTTTGTCCCTATAGATGTTGGTTTACTATTTATCTTTCCACTCAGAAGAACAGATGAAAGACCCTGAAAGATGTACCTAGAGACACACGCGGTCTCAATAGGGTATAAGTGTACATTTTTGTTGTCGGTTCTACGGGTGGGCGTGTCCCAAGGGGGCGTGGCATTCACCGTGTTTTGAAAGCAACGGCGTGGGTTTACAGCAAGCTCTTTCGAATGTTGATCTATGAGATGAGATACAGTCCCTTTATATTTGAGAGTCCTAGCCTTTATACAATGGTAGGTATACTGATTTAGAATTGTACGGCATTTTTGTCTATGATGAAAAGGCAGCCAGGCATCTATAGCAGAAAACATACGTGTTTAGATGTGTACGCATTCTTGTATCAACTGAATGTTACATATGTTATATTTGGGATTACACAAGGAAGCCGCGGTGGCTGAGCGGTTTAGGCGTCTGACTTTGTGTGTTGGCGATTAGGTGCCTGACTTTGAGGGTGTGGGTTCGAATCCCGGATGGGACTCAACCCCAAAAGTACTAGAATCTGTACTTTACTAAGAAAGTGTAATCCCAAATATAACATATGTTACATTTGACCACTTTCTAAACTGGCATTGTGTATTTCACAACTGAATGTTATTTCGCATAGATATCGGTAGAAAGGTCTAATCATACTCAACCCGTGAAGGTCCGGGTTAGAATGTATGTCGGGTTAGAACCCATGCTTGTCGTAAGAGGCGACTAACGGGATCGGGTGGTCAGGCTCGCTGACTTGGTTGACACATGTCATCGGTTCCCACTTGCGCAGATCGATGCTCATGCTGTTGATCACTGGATTGTCTGGTCCAGACTCGAGTATTTACAAACCGCCGCCATGTAGCTGGAATATTGCTGAGTGCGGCGTAAAACTAAACTCACTCACTCACTCTAATCAGACACAAGACCCGGACAATTCCTAACCAACAATGATCCATGTCAATGATGTTGCAGTCCCGAGAACCCATGTCAACATGTTCTTGCACTGTCCGGACTATTGGCACCAGAAGCAACACACGCACGCACGCACAAACATAGGCATGCGCGCACACATGCTAACACGCTAATACGCTTGCGTGCATTTCGCTATACAAGTGTAATTATTTTACTGCGACGTTAAACCCAAACGTCTGAAATTTGGATTTTGACGTCAAGAGTAGTAGAAGCGTCCGTAAAATATAACGTTGTCACCGAAAGTTGGAGAGTAGGCAGAGGCCCGCTTCAAAGAGTTAGAAGTGGGTGGAATACGGTTTGTCGCGCTC